CGACTGGCTCGGCCCCAGCTGGGGTCGACCCTGGCGCAACGGACAGGGCTCGATGGCATTCGTGTCCGCATGCTTTTCGTCGACGCGGTCTGTCCGATATCCTTTTTCTTCCGAGAGTAACGAGTGGATCTTCACAGAACACTGAGTTTTTTTTTGTTCTCGGGGCGGTGCTGGATCTACGCTTCGCCGCGCGACCGTGCCGATGAGTGGGCGCGCGCGCATGTCGAAGAAAATGTCCTCGAAGGGCATTTTCTTCGACATGTGCGGATCCCCTTCGGCGCTCACGTCGGATCACGGCGGTGTTTTGATCAGCGCCTTGGTGCGATCTGTCAACAAATGCCGTTGGGCACTGGTTCGCCCCCATCATCCTCGAAGCCAGGGGTATTTGGAAACGCTGGCTACACCGATCAACCGAGATCCCGGCGCATGCTGCCGGGACCACCCCAAAAATTGGCCCAATTTGATCAAAGGCGCTGAATGTGCGATGAGAAGCATGCCTCGCGCCGGTCGGACCAGATGCTCGCCGCGCGAGCTGGTGACCGGAATGCGGACGCAAAGCCCCTTGTAGAAGTTCCGCGAGAATCGCCAGGGCATTCGGATCATGGATTCTGGAAGCTACCCGGCGGACCTCCACGAAAGCTCGAAAACCATCCACAACAAAGTCCGCGAGCACCTGGTGGTGGAGATCGATGCGCGGGTGACAAGGGCAAAGAATTCCGATGGACCGAGCTCTGCTCTGAAGGCATTTGACTAAGTTGTCGTGCGAGCGCCGCCGGAAAAGCTCGGAAACGAATGAGTTTCGAGGAGGCTCCGGCCACGAGCGCGCCCACAGTTGCTCGAGGTGGACCATTTCGTCTCTGCCCAGGCGGTGATGCAGCCGCGAGTTGCGCTTGGCGCGGCCCGTAGATGTTTCGAGGCTCATCAAGCAGGACGCGCACGAGCTAAAGGAGCCCGTGTCCCGCGGTTCCCTGCGGCTGGGACTCCGCCGGGTTTCCCTATTAGTCCGCGCCGCAGAACGCCACAGGAGCGGTGGTGTTGGTGATGATGGAGGATATCTCGGACTCCCCACGCACGGTCAAGTTCTGGGTGGAGGACGAGGGGGTGGCTTGCGTGATGTCAAGGCCGATGTTGATGTCAACGCAGTGCCACAGGACATGTCTAATCGATTTCAACCAAGGCGTTGTCTGGACGCCGGCACTAGTGGATAGTTGCATGATTTGTAGCAGACTTGTCCCCCTCAGCGTGTCCCCACAATCAGCAGACATTTAGGACCGAAACTGGCCGTGCAAAAATGTGGCTCGTTTCCCTAGCTATCTTCTCGCGCCCCCAGGCCTTTAGAGGCCTCCACAGCACGGCAGCGCTGCTTGGTTCTTGTGGATTTCCACGCGTTCGTCCAGAACGCCTTCCGCCCCAAGGTGCGCGCGAATTGCTTGTGCTATTATTGCACGCTGGCGCGCCGTTACAGCAGCAGAGAGCTCGATGTAAATATCACGGAATTGGCGCGCCAGCCTCGACACGGATAAGGATCCGCACCCATTTCGGTTCACGACTCCCCCGAGTTAGCCGAGAAGGCAGACTATTTCCCGCGCTCGCATGCCGAAACGTCACGTTCGGATTGCAACGAAAGCAGCAGAGAGACTACTGACACGACCTTGGCTGACAGGGCCGAACGCAGAGCAAAATGGACGAGGATCACGCGCCCATCGCCTTGGCATCCCAGACCATCCTCCTCCTCCCCCTCCTCATCTTCCTCCTTCTCCTTTCCTCCTCCTCCTCCTTATCCTCCTCTTCTCCTCCTCCTCCTCCTCCTCCTCCTCCTCCTCCTCCTCCTCTTGTGGGTGGCCGCGAGGGTGCGATGACGGCGTCTGCGTACCTCCACGCCAGCCAGGACCTCAGCGACATCGACCTGGACCTGCTGACCAACTCGGGCTCGGTGGCGCGGGCCATGCGACGGCCCTTCGTCGTGGGAGCGGACTGGAACGCCCACTGTGCTGGAGGAGGCGCAGCTGCTGCCGTCCAGTGGGGCGCGACTGACATGCTCCAGCCACGCCAGCTGCGTCGCGGCCACCTCCGCGCGGGAGGTCGACTCCTTCTGCGTCGACCAGCCGGCGGAGGTCCAAGCCGCGCGTGGGTGCGACCGATTCGCGGTCCGCACCCACAGGGCGGTGGCGCTCAGACTGGCCCCCCCCCCCCGGTGCCACGGTCTTCCGCACGCGCCGCACGAAGGCCTTCCCTGCCAAGATGCTGGTCGGGTCGCAGCTGCCCCCGCCAGGATGGCGGTGCGCGATCGCCGACCTGCGGGCGGTCACGGCGGCAGCGGGCTTGGATGCCGCCTGCGGGCGCGTCCTGGACCGATATGAGGACGAGCTGGCCCAGCACTTCGGCCTGGCAGAGGGCCGTGAGGCGGACCCCGATCGGGGCAGGAGCGAAGGCTCGCGCCTGGTCAAGGTGCAGCTCCATCGCCAGCGGCAGCAGTGGGCGCCGACCGCGAAGGCTGCCCCCGCTGAGCAGCACTGGAGCTGGCTCGCCGAGCGCGCGCGCGAGCGGCGTGTCCGCCGACGGTTGGGCAGCCACCGCGCCAGGCGCATCCAGGTGAAGCTGCTCCGCTTCGTGCCGCCCGTGGCGGGCGCGGACCCGACGCTCTGGCAGTCGCGGCGCCGCCGCGTCCGCAGGCTGAACTTCTTGGAGCAGCCCGCGGTGGGCGCGCTCCTGGGCGACCTCCAGCGGGCGGCAGGCGCCGCCGAGGGCCGCTCGGCCTACCGCCGCTACAAGGCCTGGCTGGACTGGTCCCGCGAGGCCACCGTCGGCGACGGCGTGCGACAGGGCTTCCGCTGGATCCGCGAGCCGGCGCCTTGGGCTGCCGGCCGCTGGCGGTCTTCCGCGGGCCTCCTGTCGGCGCAGCTGGTGGCAGAGGCGGCGGCGCGCCCGTGGCACGCGCTGTGGGGCGAAGGCGGCGGACGTGCGGCGGTCGCCTGGCCCAATTGGACATGGGCGAGCGTCGAGGAGCTGCGCCGGGTCGGGCACTCCTTCCCCCGCGTGACGGGCTTGGTCTGCGACGCCTTCCACCCGCGCCACGTCACCGTGCTGTGCGACGAGGCGCTCGAGGTCTGCGTCGAGCTCTGGCGGCGCATGCTGGAGCTAGGGCACGCGCCGAAGGCCCTGGCAGCGATGCAGATGGTCCTCCTGCCGACTCAGTAGAGCGGGCTGGTCGGTTGTCCAGGTGGACGGGCAAGGGTGCCTGACCGCCTCCCTTTGCGGCCCGCTCCCAGGGCTGCACAAGGCGTCAGATCTTGCGGAGGCCTTCGCCCTCCTCATGTCTCTGACGCACGTGGCCTTGGGGGCCTACTGCTTCCACTCGGACTGCGCCTGGGTGGTTTCCAGCTTCGAGCGCGGACGCGCCGAGACCACTGGTGCCCAGTGCGAGGCAGCCGACCTCTGGACGCGCATCTGGGATCGCGTAGACGACCTAGGTGGTGACGTCACGGTTGTGCAGGTCAAAGGCCACGCTCGACGCTGCCGCGACAGTGCCGTCGAGCGTGGCTTGATCAAGCGTTGGGGGAACCACTGCGCCGACCTCGGCGCCCGACAAGGTGCTGCCCTCCACCCCACGGACAGTGCTGCGGTTCAGCGGGCCGAGCGCACGTTTCACTTGGTGACGCTTGTCGCCAAGTTTTTGGCTCGGGTGCTGCGCTCAGCGGACCCCGGCCAGCACGACGCGCCGCGGCACGGCCACCTGCGACGTGCTCGGCGCGGGGGGACAGCCCCCGCGCTGACGGCAGACGTGGTGCTGCCCGCTGGCGTGCACGAGCCTGTGCCGTGTGGCAAGGGCTTCCGCTGCTGCCGCTGCTACCGCGTCGCCAGGACGCGTGATGGCTACACGCCTGCGGCGTGCAGCCCAGGAGGTGGCCACCGCGTATGGTGCGTGGGCCCTGTCCTTTTCTGCGCGAGGTGCGGAGCGCATTCGAGCGAGAACGCTCCGCTCCTCGCGCAGCCTTGCCTCGGGATTGTGCCCCCACAGACGGGGCCCCGCCTGGGTCGCTTGTAGGAGGGCAAGCACCTGCGCACTGGTCTTCCTCTGCCCTTGGCCAGCGGCCAGGTTAGGCCTCGGCCGTTCGCGGACTTCGTCCTCGACAGCCTGGTCGGTGACCTGGTAGTCGTGGGCGAGGCTGCGGACGGGTTGTAGGCCCCTGGCTGCGCCTGCTGGCGGTCCCCTTTGGGGATGTGCTCGGGGGCCCTTTTTATCTCACCGTCGGGCTTGCGCCCGAGCCGCCCAGCTGTGCCTGCACGCTTGGCGCCGCGCCTAAAAGAAACATCCCCCCCAAAAAAGAACTCCGCCTCCCCCTCCTCCTCCTCCTCCTCCTCCTCCTCCTCCTCCTCCTCCTCCTCCCCGCCCCTTCGCCCTATTCACTCCTACCCTGGGCGACAGATGCGGGATGGAAGCTGGGGGGGAGGAGGGGGGGCCCACCATGCCGTGGGTGGCGCATGCCGGGGGGCGGGCGAGGGGCGGGAGGGGCGGCGAGGTCGGGTTCGGGCGGAAACCTGGCGCGGGGTAGTCGTTGATGTCCTGACAGGGTCGAGCCACGGGCTGAGGTGATGGGCCGATTTTTCCACCACCACTACCGTAGGTAGGCCAGGGAGGAGGAGGACGAGGAGGAGGAGGAGGAGGAGGCGGAAGAGGAGGAGCAGGAGGAGCAGAAGGAGGAGGACAAGGAAGAGGAGGAGGAGGAGGAGGAGGAGGAGGAGGAGGACGAGGAGGAGGAGGAGGAGGAGGAGGAGGAGCAGGAGGAGCAGGAGGAGGAGGAGGAGGAGGACGAGGAGGAGGAGGAGGAGGAGAACCTCCCCGTCCCCGGCCTACCTGTGGTAGCGGTGGTGGAACATTTGCCCATGATGAGGGGTCCGCACCCGGCGGTTGCGGGCGGGGGGTGGATGGCAGTGGGGTGCTGCGGCGGCCTGTCGGGCGCAAGGCTCTGCCACCCTCGGAGGGGGCTGCCGGATTTCAGCGGGAGGAGCGCTTCATTGACGACGGGTTCTGGGAAGCGCTGCGGAGCACCTCGGTGGGGCCGTGGCGCTGCATCAGCTGTCAACGGGAGTCGTTGCGAGCGCCAGGGCAATCGAGAGAGAGAGAGAGATTGAGAAATTGTGTTCGCTTCGCGAATCCCCGCCAGTCCATTCAGAAGCCCTGCCGATGAGAGCAGACGGGAAATGAAAAGCAGAGACGCATATAGTGAAACAGATCGGTCAAAGAGACGAGGGGGAGGAAAGTGTTGAGCCATGGTGGAGGCTATCTTGGGGCATCGGAGGCCTGCTTGGAGCTATGGGGCCTTTTTGGGGGCGTCTTGAGGTCCTCTTGGGGCTCTTTTTGGAGCATCTTGGGGCTCTTTGGGGGTTGTTGTGGTCCTCTTGGGGCTCGTTTGGGGCGTCTTGGGGCCCTCTTGGGGCCCGGGGCTCTCTTGGGGTCCTCTTGGGAGCTATGGAGCGCTTCCTGGGGCCATGTTGGAGGCCATCGATCAAAGGAGGGGGGGTCCTCGATGTGCGTCCCCCTCTGGGGCCCTTCAAAGCGCCTCTTGGGGCCCTATTGGGGCGCTCTTGGGCGATCTTGTACGCTCTTGGGGCCGTCTTGGGGGCTTCATGGGCCTCTCTTGGAGCTCTCTTGGGCCATCTTGGGGCCATTTTGAGGCCTCCACAGAACATCGGAAGCGAAAGGGCGAGAAGGCAAACATCATTGATTTCTTTTAGGTTCTTGACGGATTCTGGCTTTCGGGGAGGTCCCGAGAGAGCTCCGGCAGCACCTGGAACCGTCTTGTGGTCCTTTAGGGGCCTCTTGGAGGCATGATGGAAGTCATCTTGAGCCACCTGGCGCTGTCTTGAGCCATCTTGGAGGCCATCTTGGAGCATCCGAGGCCCTCTTGGAGCCATCTTGAGCGAAAAAGGACACTCTGATGACTCGCGCCCCCCCCCGTCCAGGTCCAGGGCAGGGGTTAGGGGGATGGGTCAAGACACCCTTCAGATAGCAAGCCGTCTAGCTCACTCCCACCCGCCCTCCCAACACATAAATAACACACGAGCCTCAGCATATTCCGCGGTCGTCTTTTGATGGACAGCTACTGGGAACCAACATCGAGCCCATGTGCGCGACGCTGGGGCGAGGTGCGCCACGCGTGCTGGGCGCGCCACGCGCGCCAGGCACCCCTAGGGCCCGAGCGTGCCAGGCACGCCAGGGCCTAGTGCGCCAGATGCTCCCTCCAGCCGTGTCAGGTGCCCCATGTCCGGGGCACGTGCAGAGTGCGTCAGGTGCGCTTGCGCACATGACAGCACAAATCGGGAAACACGTCGGGCCCCACCATCCTTGTCGAAAACCAATGCCCATCGTTGTGTTTGGTGGGCCTGCGCACAGCAGGCCATACACCATCACCCCCGCCGTCCCTGACAAAAAAACACTTGACAATGATCGCGGGGTGGCCGCGCACTATCCACATTTGGCCGCGAGGTGCATTTGTATTGTGTGTTTGTCAGGGATGGTAGCCCTGCGCGCAGCAGGGAATACGCTGACCCCCCCGCCGTCCCTTTCGAAAAACAATACAATGGGCCCGCGGGCCTCACAAACATGACTCCAGACTTTGCCCAAAACTGAACTCTGTTTTGCTTTGTGACAGGGATGGTGGGCGGGGCCCGCATCGGGTTGGCCGCGCATGCTCCGAATTTGGAGGCAGAGTGCGTTTTGTATAGTTTGTTGACAGGGATGGTGGGGGGGGGCCTCATGGTGTGCGCATGGTTCCGGGTTGGCTACCGGCCGAGTGGTGGAGGGGGTGTTTATTAATAGGGAACAGTTCGGAACAGTGATCAAGCTTCCCACCCGCCCGCAAGCCGTCTAGCGAACTCCCACCCGCCCTCCCAAAACATAAGGAACACCCGAGCCTGAGCATGTTCAGCGGTCGTCTTTGGATGGACAGCTACTGGGAACCAAAGCCGACCCCAGGTGCGCGATGCTTGGGCGAGGTGCGCCATGCGTGCCAGGGGCGCCACGCGCGCCAGGCACCCCTGGGGTCTGAGCGTGCCAGGCTTGCCTGATGCGCCAGATGCGCCAGATGCGCCACGAGCTCCGAGTGCGCCAGGTGTGCCGCACACTCCAGCCGCGCCAGGTGCGCCATGTTCGGGGCACGTGCAGAGTGCGTCAGCGTGACAGCACACGTCGGAAGACATGTCGGCCCCCGCCATCCTTGTCGAAAACCAATGCCCATCGTTGTGTCGGGTGGGCCTGTGCACAGCAAGCCACGCGTCACCACCCCCGCCGTCCCTGTCAAAAACCATTTGACAGTGATCGCGGGATGGCCGCGCGTGATCTAGATTAACCGCGAGGTGCATGTTGTATTTTGTCAGGGATGGTAGCCCCGCGCACGGCAGGGAATATGCTGGCACCCCCGCCGTCCCTGTCAAAAACAATACAAAGTGTTCGCGGGCCTCACGAACATGACTCACGACTTTCCCCAACGTGTACTTTGCAGTGCTTTTTGACAGGGATGGTGGGAGGGGGGCCGCATCGGGTTGGCCGCGCATGCTCCAAATGTGGAGGCACAGTGCGGGTTGTATTGTTATTTGACAGGGATGGTGGGGAGCGGGCCCTCATGGTGTCGGCATGGTTCCTGGTTGGACGCCGGCCGGGTGAGGGAGGGGGTGTATATTAATTAGGAACAGTGATAACCCCTCCCCGAAGAGGAAGAAGGAGCTTTTGGAAGAGAAAAGAAATACATCGTTAGACCGCCTGCGCCTAGAGGGCTCGCGGGATTCGAAGACGCTTCGCGTAACCGCGTAACCTCACCAGCCCATCTAACAACGATGCCCAGGCGAGTTCCGCTGATCAGGGATGTGGGACCTCTTGGGGCCTCCTGGGGGCCGCTTGGGAGCCTCCTGAGGGGCGTCTTGGGAGCCTCTTGGGGCCGCTTGGGTGCTTCTCGGGGCCTTCTTGGGGCCCTCTTGGGGCTCTCTTGGGGGCCTTGGAGGTCTTCTTGGGAACACCTTGGCGGATATCGATCAAAGAGGGTGGGGGTCCAATTAGCCCCCCCCTGAAAGTCGCCTCTTGGGGCCCTCCTGGGGCGCTGTTGGGGAGCTGTTGGGCGCTTTTGGGGCAGTCTTGGGGCCATCATGGGTATCCTTGGGGGCCATCTTGGACTCATCTTGAGGCATCGGGAGCCCATCGGAAGCGAAAGGGCGACAGGGCCAACATCATTGATTTGTCTACGGTTTGGGACGGATGTTTGCCTCTTGGGGGCTTCCTTGGGAGTCTCCGTTCCGTGGCCTCTTGGACCCGTCTTGGGGCCATCGTGAGGCCTTTGGAATTATCTTGGAAACTATCGTGGGCCAACTTTGGCCACATTGGGGCATCTTGCAGGCCATCTTAAAGAGTCTGGGGCCATATTACAACCCCCCTGGGGCCCAAAGCCTCCGAAGATCACCACCGAAAAGTAATCATCTGTCCACACCCGCGTGTTTTTGTTCTATATTTTTGTAAGTCAAAGAGGGGGTGTACTCAATTAGCGTCGCCTCTCTGGAGCCCCCAAATTCGGCTCGTGGGGCCCTCCTGGTGAGTTCTTGGGTCGCTCTTGGGCGTTGTTTGCTGTCTTGGGGCCATATTGGACCCCTCTTGTGGCCATCTTGGGCCCTCTTGGAGCCATCATGAGGCCTCGGGAGCGCATCGGAAGCGAAAGTGCGAGCGGGCTAAAATCAGTGATTTCCTTTGGGTGTTTGAAGGATGTTGGCCTCTCGGGGGGGGCATCCTTGCGAAGCTCCGATTCCACTTGGACCCGTCTTGGACTGGTCTTGGAGTCTCTTGGAGCATGCTGGCCATCATCTCGAGCCATCTTGGAGTACAGGAGGCCATCTTGGAAATCATCTTTGGCTTTGGGAAGCCCTCTCGGAGCCACCTTGGCCGGTCCAACGGCCCGCGACACCCCACCTCCATGTCCAGGGGGAGGGGGACCACTCACGCCCCAGAGGGCTGGTGGGATTCAGAGAGAGAGAGAGAGAGAGAGCGAGAGATGGAGAGCGAGAGAGAGAGAGAGAAACAGAGATAGAAATAACTCAAGACAGACAACGAATAGAGACAACGAAAGATAGATCCAGGGGTACCCAAACGCGCGCATCCGTGGGAATATATTTGGCAGTCGGGAGTCTGCACGATGGCGAAACGGCCGCGGACATGCGGGCGCAGATACATGCTCCTTGAGTCCAGCATTAAAATCGGCAGATCTGCTGCAGTGTGCGACACATGTCATCACAAGGAATGCTACAGCCATAATTAGGGTCCAGACAAGATGTGAGGCACCGACGCCTGCGACCGATTCTGCACCTGCATAATAAAGTTGCATGCGAAAGCCGAGTTTCATGCGCCTTGCTCACCAGAGCACCTGGCAGGAACGCATAGATCTTCTGATACATTGCCCACCGCTAAGAGCAGATTTTAAGAAGGGCGTGGTGGATTGACGCTTGCTGCCTATTTCGATTCGCGGTAAACCATCGACTAACCCTCGTCCCAAAGATCCAGGCTTTTCTTGAGCAGCCTTTTTTCCAGCAGTGATCCCGGAGTTGCTGAACGCGAGCAGGACACGAAGGACGAGAACACATAAATTCGCCCCTATCTCTGCATAAGTGCGGGATTGCATATGCACTGGTGGCTCAGCGTTTGCTTGAGATGTTGTCCAGGGGTTGGCCGTATTTTTGATCAGTCATTTAAACATGCCCGTCAGCATGGGGTCTCATCGTATCAGGCGCTCCTTCAAACTCCACCCGCCTCTTTCTCACCACCTCGTCCCCTCCACTTTGCGTCCGACTCGCACTCTCCATCCCTCTCCACCTCCAGATCCTCCTCCTCATCTCTCCTCCCCCACGCCCTCACCTCCTCCGACTCCTTTCGGAGGTTGATAGAATCCCCGCCTGGGCAAGGCAATCTGCGAAGTACTCCGTTTCGGTTCTCGAGAAGGTGTTGCCGCCGCGTGTTGTCCCGGGCCGTTTTCACTCACGAGTGTTTTTCCTGAAGGGGATTTGTCAACCCCCAATCTTCCCCCCTCCTCGTTATCCCATCCCCTCCTGCTCCTCTTCCTCCTCCTCCTGTGCCTCGTCCCCTATTCCTGCTCCTGTGCACCACTGTCGAGCGCTGCCTCATTCCATACCAAGCATGCTCGATGCAAGCCCAACACCAGGCACCAGCATACGATGTCAAACGCGGCACCGTCGGATTCACATGCCTCATCCCCTCCTGCTCCTCCTCCTCCTCCTCTCTCCTTCCTTATCCCTTTTCCTTCTCCTCCTCATCAATATGTTTAGCTTCTGGGCCGCCTTCGCGTGAGTAGTCCGCTTTCCAGGGGCAACTGACTTGAATTAAATTCCTGCTCCTCTCTCTTCGTTCTCATCCCTCATCCTCCCTTCCTCCCTCGTCCGTCCCCACTCCCTCCTGCCTCCGTTTTCCTCCTCCTCCCCCTTCTCCTCCTTCTCCTCCTCCTCCTCCTCCTTCTCCTCCTCCTTCTCCCTGCCTCATCCTCCCTCCCTCCCTCAGCCTCATCCTCCTCCTCCTTCCCCCCTCCTCCTGGCCTCATCCTTCCTCCCGCCCTCCTCCCTCCCTTCCCCCCCTGCCTCCTCCCTCCCTCCCTCCCTCCCTCCTCGCCGCCTCCATTCTTGCGCCGTCGCCGAAGCGGCCCTGGGGGGGAGGTCGAGCGGCCCTGGCACACGAAGGCGACGGTCCTCCGATGCATCTGCGGGCTGTGGGACGAGGAGGGGGGCGAGGCCGGGCGCTGTGTTGCTTGCTTGTTTTCGGTATGTGCCTCGCCGCGCCCGAGGGTGAGGCAGGGGGAGGATTGGGGAGGGACGGGCAGGAGGAGGAGGAGAAGGGGGAGGAGGAGGAGGAGGAGGAGAAGGGGGAGGAGGAGGAGGAGGAGGAGGAGGAGGAGGAGGAGGAGGAGGAGGAGGAGGAGGAGGAGGAGAGGCAGGAGTATGAGTAGGAGGAGGAGAAGGGAGGAAGGAGGGTGATGAGGAAGGGAGGGAAGGAGGAGATGAGGAGCAGCAGCAGTACAGTAGAAGCAGGAGGAGCAGGAGGAAACGGAGTTGGAGTCAGGGAAGGATCGGATCGTACCGATTCAGCAGAGGGAGCGTCGAGAACCTCAGCGCTGTCTGGGGCCCGCTTCGTAGGTGCCACAAGGTTGGATCAATTTGCTTGAACAACGGTTTGACTGTTTTTGTATCCCACCCTGCCTGGGAGCGAAAAACATTTGAATGGGGAAGGAGAAGCAGAGAGGAAAGGCGAATGTGATGAGAAGGCGTTTCAACAATGCCCCCATGCCCCGACGTGAGTTGCTACGACCGCCGTTTGTCCTGGATCTCGGGATCCGCCTTCATCATTGGATGCCGGATTTCATCTGGTCATTACCGACGAGATCGGTCGCTACCGATCTTGCTTCAAACTCTGGTATCGGTCGCGACGCATTTGCTTCAAAATCGGTTGCGACCGATGGGTCGCCATCGGTCTTGACCGATTTGGGGTGTCGATCGGTCACTACCGATCGCGACAGAAAATGCCCTGTATCCAGTGGTCCTGGTGTGGGCCATGTCGCGGGCCCCGGGACGGGTAGATCATTGCCCTGGACGGACTGCGGGGTCCCGGGGCAATCGGTCGAGAGCTCCCCTGGAGGGGCCCGCGCAAGGATTAGAGCATGACGCAGGCTGCCTCGGGCGGGGGGGGGGGGGGGGGGGGCGCGGCAGCGGCGGTCTGAGGCCCTGCCCCCAAGCCTACACTTCCTGGCGAAAACAAAAAAACGGCACAGAGGTCTTGCATAGTTTTTGGCCTCTCGGGGCCCTTGCCAGGCCTCGGGACCGTCAGAAAACGACTCGGGATGAAAAAAAGCAGACCTGGGGATTTGTTCGAGGGGTCGGAGACCCGCGGCTCGAAAACAACGAAACGTCGGATGTCTAGGAATGGGCTGGCTCTGACCCGGTGGGACCTGCTTTGGAGTCGGCTGGGGGTCTGAGGTGGCCGAGCGATGGTTCCGACCAGCAGGGAGGGGAGCGGAGATTCGAGGTTCTGGGTTCGAATGGGTTTTTGCTCCTTCTGGCCTTCGGGGCCTTTCTCGGGCCCCTGGACAATCAAAAACATGCTCCCGACTGCACTCCGTTTCCGCTAATTTTCTTCGCTCGGCTCTGATCATCCTTCTCCTCCTCGCCCCCTTCCTGGTACTCGACCTCCTTTCTATGGTCAGGGACTTTGGCTTAGCGTGTCGCTCCGCCGCTTCTGGCCCACCAGGCTTTGGCGCGACGCGTTGTCCACGTCCCGGTCCCCAGGCGTCCACGTCCCGAGTCTTTCCAAGCCTCCCACCCCGCGGAGCGGAGCGACACGCCACCAGCTTGCTGGGCATAGCGTGTCGCCGGGGCCGCCGCCGCGACACGCTACGCAAAAGTTCCCAACCGTAGTGACATTCGTCTGCTTCGCACTCCTCACCTCACCTCTCTCTTCCTGCATTTCCCTGTTGAAGTAAACCCGCGGCCTCGAGTGGAACTGGAAGGACTCGGACGGCGAGTCCAACCAGACCGCAGAGCGTGTACCAGCAGAGGAAGAGCGTGTACCATCACCAGCAGTACCAGTGCCGAGACCGAGCCCTCGCGTAACAGTTCAGCAGAAGTCCAGCAGCGAGCTGTAAGTATCGAGCACAGCCCATTTGAGTTCCATGCGCAATGAGTGCGCGTTCTGTTCGAGCATCTTCGCGCATCAGCAATGTCGCACTTTCTATACACAGCTGGCAACGACGAAGGGCAAACATAGTGGTCGCCGCGATGGCTGCGTGAAGGGGCCACCTCTCCGTGGCCATCATCAGGACCGCGGCAGTGAGGACATTGGCTTGACTTGCAGAACGGGCGCCTCGCTGTTCACGTCGGCGCAGGCTGATGAAGACATAGCGTGCTGGAGTGCGCGGGAAGCTGCTCCGTGCAGGCAGCCTGGCCCAGAAGAGCACGCGCTCGAGCCCGTGTCTGCGGCGCACAACTCTCGTGCCACAGAGGAGCGGCTGCGGCAGAAACTGCCACCACATCGGGGCGAGGCGGGGGGAGGGCCTCCAAGCGAGTCTGTTCCATGCTGGGTGCGCGCGCGCGCGGGGAGACCCGTGACTCTTTTCTCGCCTCCTCACATTTTCTCACCAGGGGGTGCGCAGCGGGCCTCACGAAGAGGGCTCTACCATGATTGAGTCGGGAAAGGGGCAGGGACGAGGAAGGCAGCAGATCCCGCACGCGCGGAATTCGCACGCACAGAGCACGCACAGGTGGAACTCGCACGGGGCGGAACTCGCACGTGGCGGGTCTCACACTGACAGAACTCGCGTGAGGGTGGTGCCGCACAGACGAAAGATACACGCAGCGGTAATCACACGGACGGAGATCGAACGCACGGAACTCGCACGGACGGAACTCGCACGCAGCGGAGTTGTGAAGCCTTGTCGACCGCCAGCGCACAAGCGTGTAAGCGTCGTCCGTGCGAGTTCAGTCCATGGAACCGCGAGCGCGAGATAAGTAGGTTCGTTTGAGTTCCGTACGCGCGAGTTCCGTCGCGAGTAGGGTCCGTCCGTGCGAATTCCGTTCGTGCGAGTTCCGCTCACAGCAAGGCTAAGAGGGCGGGACGGAGGGAGGGTCCTGGGAGTAGAGATTACCTGCCCAATCTGAAGATACCTCTTCGCTGCGACGTTTGGGCCATCTCGTTCTAACTTGCTGTCTCGTCCTGCTCCAGGTGTTCAGAGCCTCCCAACGTCGCCGTGCCACGAGCAACACCAATCCGTGTGTTTGCCGCCCCCCGCGTTGCCATGGGACGACTCAAGTCGAACACGCGTGCCCGCGCCTTTACGTTGACACGTGGCGAGTAGGAGTATAAGAAGGTATTGTGCTGCGCTGCTGCGTTGTCATGTGAAGGGGTGCAGTAGACTAGTAGTTGCCCATCCCCTTGCGTTGACATGGTGGAAGAAACATACCAGTGCGTCTGTGTTTTTTGCCCCTCCCCTCCACCCGCCCCCACACCCCACCCGCGTGGCCATGAAACACATATCTCATAAAGGAGAATACGTGTTTCACCCAGGGTTGCCCTGAGACGAGACAAGTAGAATCGCGCGCTGTTTTCTCACATTGATTGGATGGTCGCGCATGGTAGTGAGACAAGTTGTGTTCGTTCCCGTCCCCCCTCCAGACGGTCGTCATGCAACGAGGTACAGGATAAAGTGCTTTACCCCCCCCCCCCCACACACACACACCACCCCACACTGCATTGCCACTTGCCCAGTCATGTAACATAGCATGTTACCTGCCCCCTGCGTTGCAATGCAACGAGCATATGGAAACAGTGTATATGCCCGCCCCCACTGCGTTGCCCGAAACACACTAAGTTCATTGGTGGTTCTCCCCCGCCGTTGCCATGTGACGAGCAGGTTAGGACAATGCGCGTGCCGCCCCCTGCGTTGCCATGCGGCGAACAGGTCGCAATAGTACATCGGTCGCCTCCCATGTGCTGCCATCTGGCAGCTCACGTAACACATTGGGTGCTCCTCACCCTTTGTGCTGCCACGTGACGAGCACGAGCACAAGTATGAGTGGTCGCTCCTTTGCGTTGCCACGTGACGAGTGAAATCAAATAGTGATGTGCCCGCCCCCATGTGCCGCCACGTGGCAACTCGAATGTGTGTTGTGTGTACTCCGCGCCCCCGCATTGCCATGTGAAAAGCTGGGTGCACGAGTACGCGATTGTCCCTTGCGTTGCCGTGGCTCTTGCTAGCGTGTCGCATGGACTAGATGGACTAGGTGTTCCCCGCCTCACCCTCATTGCGCTGCCACGAGGCTATTAATTTATAGGTGGAATAGTGGAGCCCTACCTCCCCCCCGCCCCCGCTTCCCTTTTGCGGAGCGAACAAAGCAGAGAAGAGGACTACCTTCTCCGCGCTGCTGCGCTGCCACGCGCCGAGTGATGTATGACATGGTTTATTAATCGCTTCGCCCATTCCGCCGGCCCATATATTGCGCACCGCGGTGGCCTGGCCGAGAGGTCGTCGGCAGTGCGGAGCTGCAGGGAGCGGCGGCCCCAAAACGTTTCCAGAGGCTCTCAAGAGGGCTTCAAAACGGCTTCAGAGCGCCTCAGGACAGCCCAAGAGAGCCCCAAGACGGCCCAAGGATGGCCTCACAGAGTCTCAGAGCTTCCCAGGAAAGGCACAAGGAGGCCACAAGAGGCTCCCAAGAGGGCCCCAAGGAGGGCCTCTTGGGAGCCTCTTCGAAGCTTCTTGGGAGCCTCTGAGGCGCCTCTCGGGGCCTCTTGAGGGCATTTTGGGAGCCTCCGTGGGCCTCCTGAAGGCGTGTTGGCGGCCTCTTGGAGCCTCCTGTGGACCTCTCCGGGCCGAAAGCTCGAAATGTCCGTTCGGGTGCCCCGTCTGGGCTCGCTTTTAGAGCCGTCTTGGAGGCGTCTTGGGCCATCTTGGAGGTCTCTGGGACTGTCTTGGGGCCCTCTTGGGCTCATCTTGGTGGATTGTTGGGCCGTCCTGGGGCGATCTTGGGGGCCTCTTGGGCACGTTTGGACGCTGTGAACCCCAGACGTCGCATATGCGAAACAAAAATACGTTTTCCCTAGGGAGTGGGACGAATTTTGCTTGTTGGAGCCCTCTTGGAGAGCCTCTTGAGGCTCTCTTGGGGCTTCTCGGCGGCTTCGAGGGCCGTATGAAGGCCATCTTGGGCGTCTTGGACCGCTCGTTCGGTGACTCGGAGCGCTCTTGGGCTGTCGTGAGGCCTCTTTGGACCCTCTTGGCGTGCTCTGGGGGGCCTCAGAGACCGCACCCAGGAGGAGGAAAACCATCTCTGAGTAGCAGTGGCCGAGCTGCGGTCGGGCGGCGAACGGGGTACTTTTCGCCGGGGGACCCCGAGGGGCCGCCCCGCGCGCGCGAACCAGAAAGTATTGTTAACCAGTTACCGGAGATCTTAGCACGCCTCTGGCCCGTTGGGCCGGCGAATTTGTTCCGCCCCTTGCGGCGCCCTTCGTTTGACGATTCGTGTAGGATAGCGTTTGTCCACCCTTTTGCGTAAGTTTGTCCGCCCCCTTCCGCTGGCGTGTGCCGGGTAAAGTAGAGTATGTTTTCCGCCCCATGCGTTCCGTCCCATGCGTTGCCATGTGACGAGCGGGACGTAACACGGGTGTGTTGTTTATTTAATCGCTTCGCTCATTCCGCCGGCCCTGGAGCGCTATTTGGGGCCTCTTGGGGCTGTCTTGGGGGCTTCTTGGGGGCTTCTTGGGAGCGCCTTGGGGCTCCTTGGCGGCGTGTTGGGCTCCCCTGTGGCCTCTTGGGGGGCTCTTGGGGGCCCCTTGGGGCGGGAGGGGGGGTAGTCGATTGCAGCCCCCCCTCGGAGGCCACGATCCTCGTGAGGGGTGGCGAAAAATAGCCTCCCCCCTGGGGATCGCGCGGGACCCGGCCGGGGATCGGCCGGGGTATTTTTCGTCCGGGGCCCCCCAGGGCCGCCCCGCGCGCACGAACTAGAAATATTGTTAAGTAGTTACCGGAGATCTTAGCACGCCTCTGGCCCGTTGGGGCGGCGAATTTGCGAGGCCGCGCGGCGACCGGAGCAGAGTTGTTCGATGCGGAGTTCACCATGTGTACATCAGTTGTCTACCGCATTCTTCGCTGAGCGTCGGGGAGCAAGCGAG